TATTCGGCCTCTGAGTGAGACCACTGTGTTGCTTTGCCACTTGCGACTCACCTAGCAATATGTTTTTCCTGACAGCTCTGCGAGGGAAAACAATATCACCAAAATCTGTTAATCACTTCATCTAAGGCAATTTTTATTACCAAAAGGACAAAAAAACGTTTTTCCTATCAGTCAGTTCTATTATTTGTTTGTTTTTTAATTATCAAGATCAAAAGTTTTTACCCAAAAAAATTGTCGCTAAAATTCGCTCAGCGAAATATCCGAAAGCATCTTCATCCTGTGGTGATTCCACGTTATGATCAAGTCCTCCATTTTGGGTGATACATTGTCTCCTGGTTTCTGAGTCCTTGGTGCCATATTTTCAAACACAAATAATAATATATAGGATAATGAGAGAAATTATGAAGAGATTAAATTATTTTAGATCAAAGTTCAAATCCGAATCAATAATTAAAGGAAAGTTGCAGGATATATAGGAGTTTTTTTCCTCGCAACTCTTTTAAAATAATATCAAGAACCCAGCAGCACGGGCACTGATGAGGTGACATATATACAAGCACAAAAGTGGCGATACAATTACTCTGTGTTGGGGCAATTTGAAGTATTTGCTTGGGGTTGATGCTAGTTTTCAGACTTCTTCTATGAAGTGTCCCTTGCATAACAAGAAGAAATCTAACATTTTAAAAAATACATTGGCGAGAGAGCACTTTTTTTATAATTTAAAAGCAATAGTAACAAGAATAAAAAAAAAACAAGTAGAAAAACATTGACAAGAGCACTTGAATGCAGTACCCTCGCTAATGCAAATCTTTGTTATCACTTTGAACGCACCGTTTTGTTTCTTACAGCTAGGTGGGGGAGGTGAAAGCAGCTGAGTTGACCATTAGCCCTGTTCATCTTGCTGTGGTGGGCATAATAGATTCGGATAAGGTACACACAATATACATTGGTACTGATTTGTGTTGTACCTGTTATCATTGGTTGATCATTTAGCTGCTCTTACTTTTCATTCATGTGTCTTTCTTGATGAAAGGGATATCTCTTGGGTTCCCTCACCCGGGTCGAGTTTAGGATGACAAAGCTCCTGAGCAAGCCTCATCATCTGAGATAGTAAAGAAAAAAAATATATTTGACTAATTAATTATGCATGTTAGAAGAGCTTCCAAACTCAACTTGCCTAAATTTTATTGTAAAAAAAAAATTATGCATGGTGGAAGATTGAGATAAGAGCCGTGAATTCTTCAGTCATGTTCGTTCATGCCTTAGCCTATTAAGCTAAAGGTTTTTTTAAAAAAAAAAAAAACTCATTTCAGGTTGCTAAAATGTATTCTCGAGAGAAACTTTTCTGATTCCTCGCATACAAGATGACGTTTATGAAAGCCATCAGCATCCGATATGTGGTTGCAATTTTTTTCCCTAAAACATCGGTCACACAGCAGAATTGCATACCTAATATAGAGTAAGATCACATGTACTTGGCAAGATGTGATGTGGTTTTTGTAATTTGTCATCCATTCTGTTTTTTTTTTTCTTGTGATTTAGTTTTGAATATCTAATTGCAACTTGTAAATCATCCGTTAGATTACAGATAGCGGTATCTCATTTTTCAGGAGGCATGTGCAAGTAGCATTGGTTGTGTAGAAATAGATATCCATTGTGTTCCTTCAACATTGAGCTGCAGTAAAGGTTTTCAACAATGCTAGCGTCGGCGAAGAATTTTGCACATATTCATAGCACGCTTACTGTGGGGATGCATGGCTGGTCCGGCTAATAAACCTGATGTGTCAACACTAGCTTATCCGCCAAATGATTGGCAGGGCACATGCGGATGCTGTGAAGCTATATCTTGTATTTTAAATCAACAGTGAAAGATCCATGGGACTTGCTAATTCTAGAAGTCGCTGTTTGAAACATGTAACCAATCCCAAGTAGCGTAAAGAGAGAATGGACCGGGTACAATGATCATGGTGCAGGAAACACTTAGGCATTCGCCTGCCTAATGTTTTTGAACAACGGGTGCACTATATACGTATGGCGATATTCTTCAAGCCTCCGCGCTTTCTGGCATAAGTCGACCTAACTGTGTTTGAAAACCCCTTTTGGATTCCTCTGCGCTGTGTGTAGATTGCGGACTTACTGGTTAGTGAATCAAATTGTTCACCCGTTGTGTGTCTGCGTGTGTGTTTTTCTTGCACTCTGTTCTTTAAACCGTGTTATTGACGAAGGATGGAAATGTGTAGGGTGAGGAAGGAGGATTAGCGCCATTTGCGGGACAGTTTCACTGTCAGGGATGTGGCTCAGCGTATTTTTAGGAATTTGTTGTTGCCGTCCTGCGCAAGGATGTACATTGACGTAATGCTAGCAAGCAGAGCTAGCTGGATGAGACGTGAGAGTTACCCCATTTTTCTTCTTTCAACAAATAAATCAATTTGATTAAAGCACACTGGTCAAAATGCCACCACCTTTGGGATTCCTCGTTACTGACATGGCAGAGCAAAGCTGTGACCTGTCTCCCCTCGACAACATTATCCATGTGTCTTCTCCTATCTTTATCTGTGCTCTTAAGTCTTAACCCCGACATCTTCTGTAAGAATACCGTAGAGCTTGACACAATTGTTTAACATGCCTAGGTTGCATCCTTCCTCGGCATCCTTACATTACCAAAGTTGGACCGAGACATGGGCACCCCCCGCACGAAATAAATGATGAAATTGTGGGATAAGCTCGTGCAGCAGTGAAACTGCGGAATGTTTACAGAAAAAAACAGATGATTTACACTTTTTTTGGCCGGAACAATACAATTGAACTTTTCCATCCTACAATCCGGCATGCATCGTTTGTTTGGCGGAACCTATGATTTTTATTTTTTTCGCAGCCATGCTTTTCATTAGATATGATAGGTAACATGGAGATTATTAGTCAACATTATCTGCTCTCGTCCATGGAGAAATATTCGCGCGCTCTAAAAGAAAGCATAAACCGGTTGAGTTGAGTGGGAGCAGATACCAAGAAAAATAAAGGGCTTTAAAGTTATAGTAAAACTAAAACTAAAGAGGGAAGAAATAATTTAAAGGAACATGAGATTAGACTTGAATAATGATAGCTTTTGTAGCGGAGGCTTAATATAATCATACACCACACTAATAACAGATCCTGATTCTGATTTGTGGGTCCTCCTGACCCGACAAGCAGGGCTCAAAACCTTCCCTTTGGTCGTTGGCTACAGTCCCACTCCCACCCATCTCCCGATCCCAACGACTCCGCACCCATCCACCCCTCTTCATTCTACCCATGTGTTCTATCAATCTCACACAACACCCACCAACACTCCCATCACTTGCTGAACTAAACTATCTAATTAGTTACATTACAAATTCAGAGAAGGCAAAGCAAAAGTGAAGAGGCCAAAATGTCCGTTACATATTCTTCACCCAAAAGAAAAATTGCCTCAAAGCCTATGTCTTACCCAGTTAAATCCGAATAACTTCCTCTCTAGAACAAACCACTGTACAGATGCTAGATCAGTCGCACGGCATGCCCAGCTTGCCATTTTCAACCTTGCAGTAAATTTCTAACCTTTAATCCTAATAACTACGAAATATGTAAATCATAAATTAATCGGCCAAATCCGGCAGTCAAGGAGTACGACCCTTTGGTACTTGGCCTCTGTGGGATTCTCAGAGCCCTGACAGAAAGCCCTCTTTCTACTAATTCTTCCGCAGTTGATGGGAGTGCTGCCAGCACCGTTAGTATTGATGAAGGAATCTTGGTGGAGAAGCTGTGGTGGTATTGCCGGCGGCGCCGGCGGCGGTGAAGGAATGGTGACTGGAGGAATCTCAAAAGAGTCGAGTGGGGGTGGCGGGTGTCTCCATTGAGGAAGTGGTCCTGCCAAAAGCAGAGTCTGAAGCAGAGGGCCTGCTTTCATCACCGCCTGCAAAAGCTTGCCTTTTTCTGGTAACGGCTTCTCAGGAGCCAACTCCATCATGGATTGGGTCGCCGGTAATGGCGGCTGTGGCGGCAACTGGGGTTGAGGGAAATGGTCAATAACCGGAGAAGAAACAATGCTTTCTTCACAATCCGATGAAGAGAGGCCATTGTTGGAGTCAATTCCCCTTCTGGGTTCGTCCTCAATGCTGGAAACTCCAGAAAGAGGAGCTGCTTGTTGCTGCTGTAGAACAAACTTGTCCAAGAGAAGCCTGTGGCATTTCTCGCGTGCTTCGTCTCTCTCTTTAATGGTCTTGTTAAGCAGATCCTTGAGATTAACCAGTTGATCATCCCTCTTTCTGAGTTCCTCCTGCGCTGCAGCTCTTGTTTCTTCCAGCTCAAGAGTGGTGTACAACAGGGACTGCCTCAGCTCCTCCATTGACTGGATCATCATAGTTATGCGTCACAGAATCAATAATTAGTCCTCAAATTCCAAAGAGGGAAAGCCCCTACACATTACTAAGGAGAAAGCAAATGAAGTGAGCAACATCAGACACTGACTAAATGGTAAGAGCAGAAAGGATAAATGAGAGTAGTTACCTTGCCCTGGCAGTAGTAAGCCCAACTAAGCAGAGGGCTGCGTTGATTGTCCATGCTCTTAATCTAAAAGATGACAGATTAGATATATTTTCAGCGAAAGAAGAGGTGAGGAATTAGAGGGAAGGGAGACGGAGACAGAATTAAGGGGGATCTTGAAAGGTGCTTCCGCCTCGTTGCTCGTATATAAGGAGGAGCCCTGCTTACTTGCCCTTGTGGGTTCGAGAAAAGCATGATAGATAAATCATACCGCATTTTTCAAAATATGTTTCCCTATTTTTATATTTTAAAAAACTGTATTTGACCTGTTTAATTGCTCCTAAAAAAATGACTTTTATCCAATGCTGGCTTTTATCCTAATAATGGACTTATACGTATTTTTATTATATTTGAAAGGTTTAAATCCCACCTCATTTATATTTATACTCCTTGCTAAATCTAAAGCCATAAGCTCGTATATTAATTTTATTATTTGTCCATCCATCATGTTAAAAGACAGTATTTGATAATAAATATAAATTTAAAATTAAAATAGAGTAAAGTGTGATTTTTGAAACAAAATTATATCAGTTATTTATAAGTTATGTTGCAGGAAGGTCTTGATAATTAGATCTTCATCGAGCTTGGTCAGGAAACTGATCATAATATAGTAACAATTCCACATTTGACAGACGTCAGTTCCAACGTCCGATGGGATCTCTCCAAGTAAGAATTGTATTGTGGTGCCAGTAACATAATTTTAAGTCAATCATATGTAATTTTATTTTACTATTGAATTAAAATATAAAGTGTAAATAAAATTATGAAAAGCATGTATGGATTTTTTTTTTTTTTTGAATCATGAGAAAAATTAGAGTTAAGGAGTAATCTGAGGAGCATGACTCTAATGCATGAACTGGCGGGCGGGTGCGAGATTTAGGCATGAAAGTGGGAGCAAGAAATCAACTGTCAGAGCTTTCAAATTTTACCGCTTTTTTTTTTTTTTAAACACACAACATATCCGAATATTCAAATGAAATGTCACCCGTTATTCATACTCATTTAATTGCTTTAAAATTGAAATCTGAACTGATCATAAAAGTCCTCCGCTTACCTCGTCCCCAATTGGACAATTCATGGGAGCTTAACATTCAGAGTAACAATTATAACGACATTGAAAGGCTGGACGTGACATCCCATTTTCCAAGTCCCATTCTCTCCAATCTCTCTCTCTTTTTTTTTTGGTTTAATTTCTCCATAAAAAAAAAAGAAAAGAAAATCAAAGGTTGAGTTGAGAGTTGAGAGTTGAGACAGTGGCTTTTGAGGTATGGAGATATTTCCGAGGCTATCTAAATATATCCTAAAATTAACCTCAACTTTTAATGGTGAACTTGTGGTAATTGTATTTTTACAAATGAGTAGAGGTAGGAAATGAAAAAAGGGCCAATGGATGGTCACACACGTGGGCTGCGTTCGTGCAGTAAATCCAAACAGTCCATTTTTTGTTTGTAACGCGCAAATTCCACAGAATGTAAAATGCATGGAGCCTCTCTTTGATTTTGCTTCTTTCTTGTTTTTTTTTTTAATGCGCTTTCATTCATTTTAATTTTAATCGTCTCCTCCCATTCCTTTCAGGATATTTCACGTGCTTCTTGCCCCAGGACTGGTAATGTGAATAGAAGTGAACATTTTATCAGTTCAGTTTAAATTTCTTTAATAGCAATCGATTGAATTATATAAAAAATTTAAGTCAAATCAAAATAAAATACATAATCAAACCAAATTAAAATCAAATTAAATTATAATGATTCAATTCAATTATCTATTCAACTCATGGGCTTTGATTTGGATCTATAGAATCTAATTATTTATATATTATTTTATTTAATTTTCTTCTTTGATGTTGAATGCCTAACAAAAAAATAGCAATGTTATATTGTAATTCATAAGAAAATTAATAAAGTTTAATATTATTGCATTGAAAACTAAATTATAAAAATAAAAAAATTAGAACATTACATTAAATAAAAAAATACTACTACTGTAAGTAGTAAAAAGATGTTTCTTACTTATTTATATGAGAATTTATTCATATTTTTTAAAATATAAAAAAATATATATATAATTCTGGCTATTCAGTTTATTTGGTTTAAAAATTTTTAGATTGAATCGAACCGACTAATCAAAATTTTTTTAAAAAAAAAATCAAATCAAACTAAAAAACTGAATAGGCTGAATCGATTATACAAAATTCAATTTGATTCAGTTTGATTTTTAATTTGAATTCAATTTTGTTCACCTCTAAATGTAAAGTTGGTATACTATTATATATGTATGTGTGTGTGAGAAAAACACACCACGTATTATAATGTTATATGTTAATCCCTCAGTGAATTTTTTTCAAATGGTTGGATATTAAAAAATTTAGGATATTTTTAATATTTTAAATATAATTTATGTGTTTTTTATAAAAATATTCTTAATGAAAAAATACGTTATTGAAAAAAATGAGGGGGAGCTCACCTATCCCAGTGGCGTTTTTTTTTTTTTTTGACGTGGTCCCTAGCCAAGTGGAACACGCCCGCACGGTACCATCTTTATGAGTTAATATAACATATTCATAGTTTAATAATGGACCGGTACTTTTTCCTCCATTTCCATTCACCCCGTTTTGTTTTCTTTCTCATATTATATTTACTCTCTCCCCTTTTATTTATAAAAAAAATTTACTTTTTATTTATTTTTTTATACAAATAAAATTACCTATTTTAATAAATATTTATTATATATTTCTTAAATCACCTCTCATAATTTACATTAACGAGAAATAATTAACGCATACTGATATTAATTAACATGGAGTATTTTTGTTTAATTTTTTTATTTTTAAACATAATTATTATGATTAATTAATTTTCTCAAATTGTGTAATATAATTTTCTTTCTCATATATATATATATATATATATAGAAAGAGAGAGAGAAACAGAAGGAGTATATGCTTGAAGAGTTGGAAAATGAGAAAACTGACAGTTTTTTTATAGGTCTAACCTTTATGAGCTCATATTCTAAAATTCAGTTTTTCTAAAATTACTCAATTCTTGAAATTCGATGGTTATTTAAAGGTTAAAATTCAAAATAAATTAAAAACTTCTTGAAAATAAATAAAAGAGATTTAGAAGTTTAAGTTTATCATCAATCTAAATCAAATTACTAGCATAGGATCGGTCAATATTCTTTTCATGCATCCCTAATTCGATTTTCTCTAAAATCTCCTCTTCTGCTATAACTGCCTTAAACTCAGCTTTCTGCATATTGTTATAGAGATTTTCAATTTCTTCAATTATTCAAGAAGAAAGATCTTGGGTAGCAAGTGGAATAAAAGCAAGGGCATGGCCGATCTCGTTTGTACTGTTATTTAAATGCTTTTCAATAGACCAACAATTCGATAAGAAATATGTCTTGCTCCTCTTGCTGCATTGCTGAGTCAGTTTATTTGCCTATCTAATTTCATGATTCAAAATGATATTGTTACAACGTTAATCCAAAAACTTCACTAAAAATTACACCGAAATTCAAGCTTTGAAGAGGAAGGAGGAGATTTTGGCCAACAAAAACAAAGAAGAGGAAATGAGATCAACAAAGCTTAATTATAGATTACAAAGGTCATAGCTACGATTCAAGTGACCCTATTGACAAAATCTAAGACTCATAATTAGAAAAAAAAAAAAAAAAAAGAGGACCGAACGCACATATTTTGAGAGAGACTTGAGGAAGACTAGAGCTATAGAAAATTAAAATCACATCCCATTTTAGCAACCAAAAGTTCCCAAGAAAACAGAAAATTCAAATCAAGTAATATCACCCGTATTACCCCAGTTTCTTAACTAAAATTACTATGATAATCATAAGACTAGTCCAAACAATTTATCACATGATAGACAAATCTTTTTAACTGCAATTATAAAAGACTAACAATAGTAGAAAAAAAAAGATATTTAAAAAATCTACTATGATTGCAAGATTTGAAACTCTCAACTTACAAGTTTAAGGCACTCAACTATGGTAGAATAATTCCCACCACCATTGTAGATTAGTTCAAAATTAAGTAATTTAACTCAAAAAAACCCAAAACAAACAATCTTGAGTTTAAGCATAATATTAACAAATATAGGATCCCTAGTTTTACTTGAAACACTCTAAAACTAAACAAAACCAAGGTTAAAAATTAAATTAAAAACATATATGAAAGCATAAGATACCAAGTGATACTTAAAATAATTGAAAATAGGTTAAAATAAATAAAAATTTTCATCACGGCATGTTGTTTTTGTACCATGCGACGTGGCGTATTACATGAAATCGAACAACCTCATGTTGTTAAATGACAGCATCAGGGGCCTGTGCAACATGCCACAACATTTATATCATACATATATTTCATTTTCAACTCGCACCTCTTTGACATAAAAAATGACAACAGGAGACATCTCACATAATTTTTGAATATAGTCAATTACAATCATGATACAAATATTATCATACTTATATTAGTATTTTAACCCTATCTAGATTTCTGAAATCTCAGTATACAAATTCTAAGAGCCTAAAATACAAAAAATGAAAATAAATATTCAAATGGTGCAAGCAATATAAAAATATATTTTTAGTTGACAATATCAATTTAATTACATATATATAAACAAAAATAAAAAGTCATGCAATAGGAAATCGAGTTCCTAAACCTCTGGTGCTTTATCTCTATCTTACCTAGAGCTAGTTCTTACAAGATGTCAAGGAGAGGAATAAATATAACTACTCAATAATTAGGATAGTCTAATAAATGAATATACAAGTCAATTAATAATATAAAATGCAAAGTGGGCAAATTTATGCATATTATCATGAGTACACTTTCAAAGCACATGGTCAGACCCAATCATGCACTCATAAATCAATAATATGCAAGATCATCCAGTCACAAACTTAACAATCATATAACAATTATCAATGTAACTCAAATCATAATTATAAAGAAGTTTTCTAAAACTCCACAATCGATAAAACAAGTAAATGCACAAATTAAATTTTCTTCAATTACCTTAAACTTTTAATATGTCAATTATTTACCCATCAATATTAATACACTTCTAAGGCTATTACCAAGTTTGAATGGTGTACAAGA